GTGTTCCTTCCACCGCCCGATAACCTCCTCAGTCGCGGTCAACAGGGTCCCATCCTTACTGTACACAGCTTGGATGGTTCCCCGTTTCCCCCTCCTGAGATGCCGGATGGTCTTCCAAAAGCACTTTGGTGCTGACCGAAAGTTCTTCTCCATAGTTACCCCGAACTCCTCCCATACTCGCTGCTTTGCCTCCATCACGGCAGAGGCTGCTGCCCTTCGAGCCTGTCGGTACACGGCAACTGCCTCTGGAGTCCCACCGGATATCATAACCCGGAAGGCCTCCTTCTTCAGTCGGACGGCTTCCCTGACCACCGGTGTCCACAACGGGGTTCGAGGGTTACCGCCCCTTGATGCACCTAAGACCTTGAGGCCACAACTCACCGCCGCGGCTTCAGCAATGGAGGTTTTGAACATAGACCACTCTGGTTCAATGTCCCCTACCTCCACAGGAATGTAAGAGAAGCTCCGCCGGAAGTGTGAGTTGAAAATGTTTTGGACACGGGGCCTCCTCCAGACGTTCCCAGTTCACCCTCACTACACGCTTGGGTTTACCGGGTCTGTCCCGAGTCTTCCCCCATCCTCTGACCCAGCTCACAACCAGATGGTGATCAGTTGACAGCTCTGCCCCTCTATTTACCCGAGTGTCCAGAACATGCGGCCTCATATCAGACGATACGATTACAAAATCGATCATTGATCTTCCCCCCCACCACCCGAAGGCGTAGGGAGGCGACCCTTTTGTCCACCGGGGTAAAATCCAATCTAGCAGCACTCAGCCGGGGACTTATAAGTATCCCCACACCCGCCTGGCGCCTCACACCATGAGCCACTCTGGAGTAGAATGGAGTCCACCCCCTATCCAGGAGTGTGGTTCCAGAGCCGAGGCTGTGCGTAGAGGTAAGCCCCACCAGATCCAACTGATAACGCTCCACCTCCCGCACAAGCTCCGGCTCCTTCCCCCCCAGAGAGTTTACGTTCCACGTCCCCAGAGCCAGCATCTGCCGCCCAGGTCTGTTCCGTCTAGACCAGGGGTCTCAAACTCAAATCAGCTGCGGGCCAGATGCAGCCCACTTCAACCGAACGCGGGCCAGACTAGCGTCCGAACGGCATGGTCGACGGGGGGTGGGGTACGCCAAAGTCGGTACCCCCCCCCCCGCGGCGGTCTGCCACACCGGAGTTTGAGACCCCTGTAATAAAGAGTGGAAGCTTTATTAAAACACTAATGTGTTATACTATGATAATAAATGCTTGTATAAACACAACTCACCTGTATCCTCTGCTGAAGCTGCTCAGTGGAGGGGGGGGGGGGGGTGTCCTCCTGCCCCACGGCCCTCTCCTCCCCCTCAGGTTCCTGGTTCAGGGGTTGGTAGTAATATCCTCCATCGTACTCATCTTCCTCTCCATCAAGCTCCATCTCGGACCCCACCTCCCCCTCCACGCAGGCAGCATAGCTCCATCGGCTGGGCGCTCGCTCCCCCCCAGCTCATCCTTAGAGTTTGGTAAGACTCGATCCGGTCCCATCACTGAGCTCAACTCTTCCATCCACAGACACACTGAGAGACAGACAGTTTGTCAACAACAATAACACAACTTAACACTCACTTTCAAAAGCAGTCATTGGACCCCACCCTGGGGGATCGGTCCGAATGAGACTACAACACTAGTCCTCCTTTAACTCAGCGGGGGAGACCTAAGGTCATGTGACCGTGGAATTCCTTTATAGCCAAACGTGAAGTTACGTGAATCGAAGCTGCATAGTAATGGACGGAGACGCTCGTCGGTGACGTCAGATGCTTCATGTGTTGTTAGTGTGAGTCGTAAAGGAAAACTTTATTAAACGAGCGATGCTAACGGTTAGTCACATGATCACCTGCGCGAAAGAGGGCAGGAAACTGAATTTCACCCTCCTGCTCTCTGCACCTCGGCCGACACACACGACCCGCCCCCCATGTCAGTCACATGCATGCCACGTTCACTGGACAAGCACACAGTAGGACCCCAGAACATCATGTCCCACACAGCAGCTGACAGTGGGGTTACAGTATAAAGTATACTTGCGGGCCGCACTAACATTACACTTTCATATTAAGGATGGGGCCACAAAATATCGTCCCGAGGGCTGCAATTGGCCCGCGGGCCGCGAGTTTGAGACCCCTGGTCTAGACCCTCCACTGTCACTGCCACCCTTTCAGCAGCGCACCCGACCCCATCGGTTTCCTCCACAGGTGGTGAGCCCATGAGGAGTAGAGTCTTGGGCTGCCGCGTCACTCCTTCGAGCTGTGCCCGGCCGAGCTCTGCAGTAAACCCGGCCACCAGACGCTCGCTGTCGGGCCCTCAATCTGGGCCTGGCTTCAAATGGGGGCCCCGGGCTTCCTCCGGGCCGGGTAACTCCTTCCCTCTTCCGTTTTTTCATGGGGGTCTTGAACCATTCTTAGTCTGGCCCCTCGCCTGAGACCACTTTGCCAAGGTTAACCCTACCAGGAGCACAAGGCTCCCGACAACACAGCCCTCAGGTTCATAGGGACACACAAACCTCTCTACCACGATAAGGTGACGGTTCCCAGAGACCGTCACCGTTGTTGTTTCTCCTTCTTCTCAATACTAACTTTGCAAAACAGAGGGACACAAAAATAGAAACACCTAATACACTAATATAAAGATTATATTCTGTAACGAGAAGCTTTAGTTTTCCCAGTCGGCCTGCAAAATAAGTTCTTCCCAAAAGAAATCCTGTGATGGTAAATTTGAGCAGGGCATCCTCTGCAGTTAATGCTTTAATTCCATAATGTCTGTGTTAATGAGAGCATGTTGTCCTTTATCACTGCCCCATCGATCCAAATCCCCATCAATATCAACAAAAGACCGATTGTGAAATGGACGGAATGGAATGGAAATATTTACATTTTCCATCCCATTTAATCAGCCCTGACTTCAGATGTGTTTTTACTGTCATGGTTTATAAAATTATTGTGGGATTTTATGCATTTATTTATTCAGTTGTGGCTGTAAACAAATGTGACATATTCTGTGCAGGTTCTATTTTATTTGGTTAAACTGAGGTACATCATGTAATGACATTAATCATTTTTCCCCATGTTGATTTTACAGTAAAACAAATTCAAATCTGGATGGAAAATGGCACGTGTGACAGGTGATGCTGCGGCTTGTCATCTTTAACACTCGCTGCTGCACATGCACCATTCAAATCAAGAGAACCCACTAAAACACAGCTGTCGTCTTGTCATTTGACACGGAGCAAGAGGGCTGCTTAAATTGTCGGTGGCTGTAGAGTTCCTCCAATTGATCAATAAGACGGTGAAAGGAAGGTCTGTGCTTCCTCTTTTGTTACCAATACTCACAAGTAAAATGTCTTGCTTACTTAACATCACTAATGCAACAGCTCCTCTCTCTCTGTGTTCTGAACATCCTGAGGGGCTTATCGTCTTGTCATGTGTTGTTGTTGTTTCGACTGTCTTTGCAATCCCTGGAACTTTTGTGGTACTTTTGGACATATTTCAGAAAGGAAGAAAAGGAACCTCTTTGACCCCCAATGATGTCTTTATGGCAAATCTCTGTATCTTGGATGCACTGAATTGTGTCTTTTTTACCCCATACTTTGTTTTCCTGACGAACAACGTTGACTTCAGGTTTGAAAAAGTTATTTCCTTCATAGTTTCACTCAATGTGTGTGGGAGGCCTCTCTTCATAACGTGCATTAGTCTGGACTGTTACCTGGCTGTGGTTCATCCCGTTACTTATCGGGTGAGAAAGAGTTTGACTCCCAGAATTCTGATGGCTGCTGGTGTTTGGACTGTGACGCTTGTTTTTGGAATTCTTTTCGTGGTTCAACCCAAAGAGGGTATGAGTGACAAGGTCCCACTCTCCATTTTTGCATTCGCTCTCCCTGTTGTTGGATTTTGTGACTTCTGCGTCCTCTGGACCCTGAAGAGATCGAAACTTGGAGGAAAGGAAATCCACCCTCAGAAGAAGAAGGCTGCAAACATCATCTTCAACCACATTCTTATTACATTTATTTCCTATCTGCCTCCATTATTTGCTGTAATGATTGGCTTTTTTTTTAGCTTAGCTAAGAATATACTGACTTGTCGTGTAATGTTTCCAGCGATTACTATCACTTTAATTGGAAACACAGTTTCAATCATCCTCCATTTGATCAGTCTGGGAAAACTTGACTGGCTAAAGAATGTACCAGTTCCATAAGATATTTGCTGTATAGCATGTAGTAAGAGTGTAATACTTCATAGGCCACCATGTATATAGAGACTCTATACAATATATCCATCTAGAGTCACAGAAATTGAAAAACACGTTGATGTCTTGGATAAAAAAAAACTTTTTCACAGGTTTAAACAGAGGGAGTGATTGATATTCTGCATAGAACCACTTGATTTGCCTAAAAGGCGAATTGCTTTACATTTGCAAAACACTGTTGACACAGTAGAAAGTGACTGGTGAGTAAAGTTAGATAGTTAGAACACACTTTTATATTCAAAGCATGAGACATTGCAACAGCGGGGAAGATGAAAGGTCAATGATACACTGACTTGGACGTATGGCTTCCTGGCATGTAAAAAGGTTCCTAATGATTAACTGGCAAACTCCACATTTGTAATTTGAATCATAAATGTTTGATATACTTGTGCCTTAAGTTACATATTGTTATTAGCATTACAACTGTCATTATTATTCAGTGAATCAGTGAATCATGACTGTGACGTACATAGAAAAACAGGAAGTACAAATAATAAACGAAATGCTTGGCATTCAAAATAAATGTAGATTTTAAGGGACCGGTACTGAATTTGGCAAATAAGTGTTCTTGCAAAAACAAGGGATATTTCTGAAAGATATCTGGAAAGATGTGATCGAACGTCATTAACACTAAAGATATAACTGAATGTTTTCTTACTTAATATAAAAGCGTCCATAAACGTCCATTGGTGAATGTTTTATTTTGGAAATAGCGGCCGGAAACGGTGTGCGAGTGTGACACTTGACCCCTGATAGGACAATACGGGGCCAGCCGTACTGTAACTTTTACAACATCTCGGACCCCCGGTTCACCACCACCACCGACTAGGAATGCCTCTCCGGTAATGTGGACCGTCGGCCCCGGAAGACATCGAGATCGTCCCGCCGCGCCTCCGTGAGTTCCCGACGGGCCGCGAGATCCAGCGGACCCACCGCCATGGCCTCGGCGCCCGCCCGCCGCCGCACATCTGTCGGACTCCCCGCTGTGGCCGCGGTGCTCCTGCTCCTCCTGACGGAAGTGCCCGCCGCCGTGCGGGCCTCCCAAGGCGACAAGGAGCCGGTGTACCGAGACTGCGTGAAGCAGTGTGTCGGGACCAACTGCACCGGGGCTCGGCTGCGGGGCTTCCAGTCCGCACAGCCGCAGTATATGGCGCTCACGGGTCAGTTGTTTTTGTGTTGTTGTTGTTGTTAGTCAAAGTTAAGCTAACCTAACGTTAGCTTGCTAGCGGTCTATATTTAAAATTAAAAAACGCAGTGACGTTACCTTCTATTTTTTTTTTACAATAACACCCTGCTAAACTCATATTTTCGTAGTTTCACACGTCACGGCTGCAATGTTTGTTTTTTTACGGAGTATATTTTCTAATCTTTGACACGTGATACCGTAATTTACGAGCGGGACGCAGGTTTTACTGGCCGAGCAAGGTGCCACAAAAGGCCCTTTGTAAAGAGGATCGTTATCGTTTGTTACTCCACCCTCAGTCCACGATGGGCTATTGTTCAGCGTGAGATTTACGAAAAGAAGAAGCAATTGATACCGTTTAATCCAACCAGAGAAACTAACAAGTTGTGCCTTTTTATTTTTTCAGTTAATCAAATATAAAACGATGGAAAATGACAAAAGACAAAGCCCACAAAAGACAGCAGTACAAAAATAAATGTATAAACTTTAATTACAACGTAGAAAAAAAAATTGGGGGGGGGAAAAATACCCAAAGAAAGTTCCAAAACGTGCTGCCTGCCGGCTAATGTCGTTTGACTGCGTATTTGCCAGCAGCATATTTGGATTGAAACCCTTCTGACCTCTGCTCCTGTCTCCCGCGTGCGCTCCAGGCTGGACGTGTCGCGACGACTGTCGCTATGAATGCATGTGGACCACCGTGGGCCTTTACCAGGCCGAGGGGTACCGAGTCCCGCAGTTCCACGGCAAGGTCGGTGCTGTGTCTGTCGCAACGGCGCTATTCTTCTCATCGGCGAGGATTCCGTCCTTAAAAATACGTAGATTACATCAAGAACGAGACCAGGCTCGATCGTGTGCTCCGTTGTCCAATGACAAATGTGTTTTTCATTTCCCACAGTGGCCATTCACGCGCTTCCTGTGTTTCGAGGAGCCGGCTTCCGCCCTGGCGTCTCTGCTGAACGGCTTGGCGTGCCTCCTCATGATGCTGCGCTATCGCAGCACGGTGCCCCGCCAGAGCCCCATGTACCACACCGTCAACGCCTTCTCGCTGGTGAGATGGAGATAAATACACAGATGCTACTGTGTCACAATATGTACCGATGCGTATTAACGAGAGCCTCTGTTGTTCTTTAGGTTTCTCTCAATGCCTGGTTCTGGTCCACAGTTTTTCACACCCGGGACACCTATCTGACAGAGGTAACGCTCGTGACGTGAAGTGACATGAAGCTGTGCCGGCCGACTCTTTTCCTCTTGATTTTGATCATTTATTTTGTGTCTGTGACGTTGTCTTCCAGAAAATGGACTATTTCTGCGCAACAGCAGTCATTCTTTACTCCATCTACCTGTGTTGTGTCAGGTAATTATTTTTATGTGTGGAAGCACAGTTTACTTATAATTTACCCTGTTCATGATATAAACAAACGTCTTCTCTTATGTTGTGGTCAACGTAAATGATATCACTTTGTTTTGATCCATTACTTCCGTTCAAACTGTCTGTGTCAGAACGTTGGGTCTGAGGCGGCCCGCGGCGTCCAGCATGGTGGGAGTCCTGCTCATCTTGGCCTTTACCTCGCACGTGTCCTTCTTGACCTTTGTCAGTTTTGACTACGGCTACAACATGGCTGCGAACGCGACCATCGGTACGGCACACGCTCAAGAGTCGCTCTTAAAGCTCACATCTGGCTTCTTTGTATTTTGAGGAAAAAAGTCATGTTGCGTATATGCTGGCTAGTTTTATTGCATGTGCAGTTACAAGTCCACGGCTTAAGTGATGTACCTAGGATTGCTTTGATCTGGTCATTATAAAGTCTGTTACCGAGTCTTTTTTTCACCGTTTCCTGTCTCTAAAGGAATGGTGAACCTGCTGTGGTGGCTGTGTTGGTGCTGGCAGAACCGGCGGACGCTGCCCTACTCGTGGAAGTGCGGCTTGGTGGTCGTGCTGCTTTATGGTCTGGCCCTCCTGGAGCTGTTGGACTTCCCCCCGATGCTCTGGGTCCTAGATGCTCATTCTGTGTGGCACCTCAGCACGATACCAGTGCACTTCCTTTTCTACAGGTTTGTCCCCTCAAATGCTTTGTCTTGTTCCTTTCCTTTTTTACTTTACATTACTCTTATCTGTCTCTTTGTCCATTGTCTTGTATGTCTGACATATTTTGGTAATGGAAAAAAGAGAGAATGTTTACGTCCTTTCCTTGAAAGAAAACAACCTAAAATGATTATTAATGGAGATAAATCCTCTGCTTCCAGTTTCCTGATAGACGACAGCCTCTACCTGCTGAACACAGAGAAGATGGGCGTCAAAGTCGAGTAGGAAGAAGCTCGTCACCTCTTCGCCGTCACGACGCCGACGAACGTCTCCGATCAGGGCGGCGGGACACCCGAACCGGGAAGTAGTCCCGGATGACATGCATGGCGCCATGTTGACCTCCATCAAAGTATAATTTGTTTTAATGGTTTTTAATATTTATTTGGGAGGGGTACTTTTGTTATTTCTTTTTGGAAAAAAGCAACGTTCTTAGTTTTTGCCTTGTACAGACAGCCAGTTTCTTTTGGCATTTATTGTCAAGACCGGACGAAGGAGAAGCACGATGGCCGCGCTGCATATCCCGTTTCCTTCGACTCTCCGATGCGTCTGAAACGGATCCCCCGATCCGGTGGTTTTGGTTTTACTCAACGGTCTCTTGGATCGAATTGCAGTTTGCCGTGTGTGTCAGTAGATGGCACCAAATCCCTCGCCGGGCCACCGTCACCTCCTGCGTTTGGTACGGCGAGTATCAGGGTTCATCTGGGCTAAAAGTGGACTGGTGGACACACACAGTTGCCCCTTGTCAAGTGGGCTGAAGTGGATTGTTCGAGAGCGAGGGGGGGAATGGGGGGGGTTATGTTTGGAGGCTATTCTAGCTGACTGTTTTTTTTTTTCTCCCTCACTATCACACGTGTATTTTTGTGCCTTCATTGTCTCCACTGCTGCTTCTCTTACACTGTTCACTTCTGTATCATTTCCATTTGAGTTTTTATCAGCTGCCTTTGTTGTTTTAACTCTGTTATCATTGACCAATCCACGTGCTTTATTCTTAACGGTTTTTCCCCCTTTGACTCGATTATTTTTTGGTGGGTGGGATGTGGCGGATGTTCACAAAATGAAAATACACTTTTCATTCACCTGGATTGCCTTGTAGTGGGAGACAATAATTGAGGAAGGAGAAATGAGCTTTGAGAGGAAGCTCGGACGCTTTTTCAGCATCAAGAGTTTCTAATAAATTTTAGGTGGTGTGTGTGTGTGTGTGTGTGAGATTGAGTGTTACGGTGTTTGTTGGTTGCCTATCCTGTGGTCTTCATTCCTTGCTGTTCTGATCCTCAGAATGATACACACACACGCACAAAACCAGCTGCTGTTCAGATAACTGCCCCACCATGTCTAAAAGCCCCCGTCACTCTTGTCTGCCTTTGATGTCGTATCAAACCGGCCTGACATGAGAACCGCTCTTCTTTCATCAAACCGTCACCAAAATCATTCATACAATGTGTGTGTTCATCCCTCAGCGGTTCCCTTGCATATGTGCACTTTACGTATGTGTGTGTGTGTGTGAACATTTAGGTGCGTGCTTTTGTATTTGTGTGTGACAACAATGACCTGTACAGAATGTGTGTACCCGTCGCCTTGACTCCACATTGTGTTGCTTTTGCCATCGCAAACTAAATTGTGTGATTGTCAGCGAGATTGTTCTGGATCCATTTGTGAAGCTACCGTGTGCGCCTGCGCGACGATGGGTAAATTTAGAATTGCTGACCGGAAGGGGGGGCAGAGGTTTGGTTGGCAAAATGATTGCTGACATCGTGCCAGAGATACTTTGCTTATGAGAAAAGAAACATTTTACTGTGCATATTGTAATTATTATTATTTGCCCACCATTCCTATTTTCAGTTGCAGTGATGTTTGTTAATTACTGGCATTCATTCATTCGTCTGAACGCTCAAAAAGAAGATTAACTCATCCGCTGCCCACTGAAGCATCTCCTCTCCGACCTGAAGCTCTTTCCTCCACCTCACAGCTGATATTTGAAGAAAAAGTCAATAAAAAGTTCCTTTGTTGAAAAAGAATTGAGCAGCTTATCCCGTGAATGTGATACATTTCCTAAGCGATTCTGTGTTAGTGGTTCCCAATGATAAGTATTGGTCGACATGAGGGAAAAATATCTACTGTACGTGTCTACGGGAAACGTTGCAGCGGCTAAGTTTCTCCTTTAAGAACCTCTCGGCTCTTTGGTACATATCAGTTGGATTAAGACCACAACACGCTTACCTGCTGCGGTTTCCTCCGACGGCTCCAAGCATAGAGGTGAGAAGAAATGAAATACTTCTGCTCCACAAATCTGTAAATGGTTTTTTTGCGCATCAAATAGCTGTTTAAACCGTTTTAGATTATTGAAGGGGAATGGCTCAAAACTCTTCACAACTAAAAACCCCCCAAAGCCAACAATGTAAAAGCCCGGGTGTAATAGGCCAATGTTTTCCTCTTTTTTTAACCCCCCCCCCCCCCCCCCCCACTTAAAATGACACGTCCCGTCTCTGATTCATGCCGCCCCTCTTGCAGTGCAGGCCGAAGGTCCTGCTGACCTTGTACCAGTTGTGCCAGTATCACGTTCGCAAATTCTTTGTACGTAGTTATTATGTCTCTAATGTCGCTGAGACAAATTCCTCCTGCTGATGTAAGTGAGCAAGTGAACGTGTCATATATTCATTGTCCAAAACGCGCCTCTGTTTCGCCTGTGTTGCGTGTTCCTGCAGTCTGTGTAGTTGTCTCAGGGCTGTATCGCTTGCAAACACCTCTCACCCACTTGCTAACCACAAAACAGACGCTGATGAATATTCAAGTTTCTGCAACCCTGCAGGCCTTATAGTTTAAGTGTATTTATTGCACTGAACAGTGATAATCAGTGCAGAAAATGCATCGAAACGCACAACCTCATAATGCCACGACTCACATGTTTCTACACGCCAAATTTATCCGAGAAAACTCACCATGACATTTGTTTTTATTGCTTTTGCTGCAGCAGCAAACTCTGTGGAAGGTTTTCGACCGGGTCTGTGAACGGCTCAGCGAGGAGCCTGATGTTGTTTCCTCACAGCTCCGTGCGGCAGCTCGGACTCTGACCCCTCGCTGCTGTGGGTGGGGAGAGGCCTTAGATTTGGATGAATGGAGTTTATTCTTCCTCCTTAACCTCCTGATTTGTGACGGTGAAAGTGAAGGGCGTGAGAAGTATGAAGATGCTCCGGTGAAACGGATAACAGCTCGCTTTCAATGAAGTCACCACTCCACGTTGAATTGGAACACATGAACAGCATACTGATTAATATGCTGATAGGAGGGCTAATGCTAATGGATAAAAATAAAAGTTGTTTGGCTTTGAAACAATCTTCCTCACCCAGATCGTTATAACTATTATTATATTGGTTCATATTTCATGACGTGTTCCTTCATCGGCTTTGCGCGTACTGAGCGGAAAAGATCATCTGTGTTGAGTAACATTTTTTATTTGGAGGTAAAATGTCCTGGGCAATGGTACAATAGGGTACAATTTATTTGTTGACATGAGAAAATTTGTCCAGGACTCTGCACACATGACGTGACACATCAGATATTGTTGCATCATTACCGGCTCCATAGTGGTAAATAAAAACTAAGCAACACATAGGAGCTAGAAACTTATTGCACAACTTTTATAAATAATCCAAGATTAACAAATACACAAATATATTTTATATCAGTAGTGCAATAACACAAAATGTTTTCCTAATCTCTCAAAACAGGTGGGGATGTCCCTAAATCCTCGGGGGGGGGGGGGGGGGGGGTTACAGAGACACTTACCTTACATGTACAAACCGGCACAT